TTTCCTTTCCGTTCGTTTTCCGTTCAGTTCCGCTTTCGCTTTCGTTTCATGTGGGGATATGGTACTAAATGCGGGCAATTTTGAAGGGTCCCGAGCGCGTTCAAGTGTGATATACGCCCGAGGAACGCGAGGGCGTTGGAGTTGATCCGGGAGGGCGCTTGAGCGACTCCTTCCTCTCTTGGACGGGCGGCGCCGGCGGCTGAGGTTCCGCCTCGCGCCTAGCGATCTCCCTACCGCTCCGACTTTCCATAAATACTTCAAGCGTCGCCACCCAACCAGCGCCTAAAACACGAATACCAGCGATACCCCAAATACGAAACACCAAATACCACAGTTCATCCGACTAGCAACACATCCAACATCCAAGAGAAATTCAAGACCCAACTACTACTCTACGCACGCGCACGCTGCCTCGAATTTGGTGGTGCTTAATCCCCCCGAGTTTGCATATGGCCAATCGTTTTCTTTCCGTCTTCTGTTCGTCGCCCTTCTGCATTTTGTTTCTCGGTTCGACGTATCGCGCATGATTTTTTGCACTCGCAATTGCACTCGTTCATTGTTCCCTCTATTCGTCTACTCGATTTTTTATCAGTTTCTGATTTGATTGTCCGGGGCCCGATTGGTGGCCTATGAACCCTGCACTCGTTCGTTCGTTTTCTCATCTCGTCTCGTCTAGCCTCGTCTCGCATTTCAACTTTCCTCGCATCGCATTAGTAGTCTGCGGATAATAATAAGTAGTCCGGCCGGCTTTGAATACATCAACAGTATGCATACTCTCTTCGAGCTCGAAGTGAAAATTTAGTGACGGAAAATAGTTGAGGGGACTTGTAGATCTACCACGGGGCGTTCTAATCAGACCTGCTAGCGTGCCAGTATCGTGGGGTGGAGTGGGGGGAAGAAGGTGGGGCGCCTATTTTCGTCTCCCGAGTCGTATCTGCACATGGGAATACTTACGGAATCGGGAATAAGGCGGGTTGTTAGGGCTTGACAAGGATAAAGTTAT